CCTCTGTTAGCTGAAGACGCCGTCCTTGTCAAGCTCTGGATTTTCCTTCCAATTTCGTCTCTCCGGCCGTCAATCCGTTCCTTTCACTTTCGTCTCCTCTCTCGCCTCTCCCAACTAGAAAACACCGGCCCTATTAGGCTCCGGGTTTTCCTTCCAACCTCGTCTTTCTCCTCATCAATCCGTTCTTTTCGCCTTCGTCTCCTGTCACGTCCTCTCGCTGTCTCTTTCACCTTCCGGAATTTTACTGCCTTCGCACTTTCTCTTCGTCTCCTTGGCTTTGCAAGACTTCACCACGATCAGGTCTGTCTCCAACTTTCTTCTCCAACCACTTTCTCCAGGGATCTCTAATGTTCCAGAACATATTCACTCCTCCATTCCTCCTAAATCGCCATTTTCTTTTCCTTCCCAAGTATTCTCCCTTCACTTCTCTCATCTTATGGGCTCCACCAACACCACCTGTGCCTCAGCCTCTCAGCTTTTCCTTCTTTAATCCTCCACTGTCTTCCTTGTATTTGCGCTCAAACTTTTACGACAAGGTCTTTCTTTCTTTTATGTCACCCTCCTGTTAATCCTCTGGTTGTTAAATCTGTCAACTTGCAGCTCTTCTCGCCGGGTCGCTGCTTGCATTGAGGATTCCCTCACCAGTTGAGCTTTCTTTCAACACCCACCCTCTTAGACACATAAATCTATTTTTTTTTACTTTCCTATTTATTTCATAGAGATATTTTAGACTATTTTAACTCACTCATTAACACAGTCTGTTAAGCTCCTCTTTGCTTCCGCATCTTCTGTGATTTTGTCAGGGCCTCAGATCCGCCATCTGTTGATGGCAGAATTTTCCACACTGGATTTAGGGGGTTTCCTTTGTTGTAACAGGTGATCGCCTCTCACCTCGTTACTCTTCAGGCTTCACCCTTTCTCCAGACTTTTCTGCGCCCCCGAAGGGTCTCCAATCGTAGAAAGATCAGAGTTAAGGGACAGAGACTGTCATCTTGCCTCCACACCGCCCTGACGTCACCACCAGAAGTCCTAGTGGTGCACTTCTAATCAGCACAGATGCGCACATCTCCATTCGGTTTAACTGGTGTGACTATGGGGTTTCCCACACACTGCTATCTACAGGTTGCAACACTCCCTGCTGCACAAATTAATCTAACTCTGCATCTATTTTTGGTTTTAAGGCAAAAGGCACTCTGCAAGGCTTGATCCTGATTTGGGTTATTGCTGGATCAAGGTGGAGGGTGATTGGTGCTCCTTTGTATTTACCTAAGCTGAGGCTGAATACATCAGCGAATTTCTGGCACACAGATGTCAAATCAGCTGTTGGAGTCCTGTTGATGCCAGTCACATGGATGCCCAGGGCATCAAACCAGTCCAGCTCAATCAAACCGGTGCACTGGCCTTCGACTACCATGACACTGAGGGGACCCTCAAACTCTTTGAAGCTGACTTTCATTGTAGCTTCTCCTTTAACCACTATGTGAGAATTTTGAAAGTCTGTCAGCACCAGATTTGATGGCTTGAGTCTGACTCGTTTCCCGCTATGTCTGCAGATGTAATTAAAAGTTTTGTAGGAGATTATGGACAGGGCTGACCGGGTGTCCAGTTCCATTGAACACGGAACTTCTTGTAGCCTGACCCTGAGTCTTAGCTTTTCTTTGAGAGGGCGATGGGCTCCTGTTCTAAAAATGTTCCTCCTCCCGGAGCAGTATCCAACCCTGTTTTGCCCCGGGGCCCATTTACCTCTCCTGGGAATGTCTTCGGGTTGAACTTCCCTCTGGCAACCATTACAGACGATGGCAATGTGCCCCTGTTTGCCGCAGGCTCGACACACAGCTGTGCGGAACCTGCATTCCGATCGCTGGTGCCATTCTCCGCAGCTGGCACAGCTAGGAAAGAAAGCTTGTCAAATGGCCGCTGCCTTCTTCTTGGTAGCTTCTGCACCTGGTCGATCTCAACATCCTTGTCCGGGTCGTCTGTTCTATCTGTGTCTTCATAGTGAACAGCTGTCTGACTGGGGGAAGTCTTGAAGATCGTAAAGCCTTCACTGCTCCACCAGCAGCCTCTTCTGCCATAGCTTCTTTTAATGCATCCTGGAACGTCAATCTTCCTTTGCTAACAGCCTCTGCTGTAAGTCTCTGTTTCTGAGGCCACATACAAGTCGGTCCCTGAGCCGATCCTCTAAATCTGGAAATTCACAGAGTCTGGATGCCTGCCTAAGGGCAGCCATGAATTCAGCAGCTGACTCCCCAGGCTGTTGTTTTCTTTGCTTGAATGCATGCCACCAAGCAATGACGGACAGCCGGGGTTCAAAATGTTCTTTTAGTCTCCTCTTCAGATCAGCGTAGGTGACTGATTCTAAGCTGGCTGGGGCTATCACATTCTCCGCAATGTCGAAGGTCACCTGTCCGCACACGCATAGCAGAGTAGCAGCCTTCAGCCCATCTTCTCTCACTTGGTTGGCCCGCAGGTAATTCTCCACCCTGGAGACGTATAAGCTTCATTGCTCTGGGTAAGAAACGTCAAATTCATTCAGCTTGCCTACCTTGGCCATAGCTGACTCTCATGAGGTCTTATCAAATGCCTTATACTGCTAAGGAGCTGCTGTGTGATTCTGGGGACAGATCCCTCAGGATGATTGTGCCTCCAGTGTGGCTTTACTGGCAGGCAGGGTGGAGACGTGGTCCCTACCAGGGCGCTTGTGCCTGGTCTTCACACCCTCATGACTTCTGGCTCTGGTTCTAGTGCTTCAGCTCTTTCTTTCCTTAGCAGCATATCCCATCGTCGTCACCACTATTGTATACTGGGATTGGTGAGGCATTGATCAGACCGAAGATTAGCAACAGCTCTTTATTGAATGAACATAAAAGCAAGAGAAGCGACTCTAACAGCCACTTGACTTCTATTTATACCAGACTGCCACTAGGCAGCAGCCAATGAATTTAAAGCAATATTTGCCGCCCAAAGTGTGGGCTTGTAACTAACAGGCAAACAGTTAGAGACCTGATTTAAACATATTCAGTTAACAGTTTATAACTGCCTTTACACATTGGGTCAATACACAACATTCTGCATCTCTTTGCTTCCATGTATTTGTTGTTTGGTCCAGACATGGCAAATCATTCAGGTTTTCAACCAACAATATAGAATCATCTGTATACATAACATATAGCATACCCTAACCAATATGTCTGCAACATCACTACAAGGATCTTTATATATTCATCCTTAAATATATTAATAAGTCACAGAATATCATACACCCTTATCTTACTTTTGGAGAATGGCATGAATAGACCACATAGGTGATAGTCAACTGAAGCTACTAAATTATCAGTGTTATCTTTTGCCATTGGCTAGCATGGAATAAGATGTATCTTATTTCAACTAGGGAAAAGAAAGAGGAGCTCCTGCTGTTGGATATACTTACACTGAGCATTAAAGTTTAACATTGCCCTCGCACAACCAGAGGAATGTAAAATGAAGTGTTTATTTCACACACAGAGTGTTGCTCTTTGACACAGAGTGGACAGCAATACTATAGTTGAATTGTATGACATCAGTGAGAAGTGGAACTCTCTTAGACAATATATTAGTTATCTAGTTTTTATTCTGTTTGCCTTTTTGAGATGCATGAAGAATAGGAATTGACTATTGAACAATACTGATGGAAAAAGCCAAATAGTGTAAAACTGCACGCGTGAGCTGAAATATTTTGTGAGTTACATAATGTTTTGTCAATCTTAATTACAAAGAAGACAACAACAACAACAACAACACTTAGCAAAATTCTAAATAAAAGATATCCCTTTGCTTTTAATGCAAGAATCATACATATCACTGGAGGTTTTTAAAAATGGTCTCCTGCTTGAGCAGGAAGTTGGACTAGAAGATCTCCAAGGTCCCTTTCAACTCTGTTATCTGTTTAGTCTATTATTTAATCTAGAATTTTTAGTTTCATTTTAAAGAGATCTTTATTCAACTCCACAGACGTAAAATGCGTCAGTTTACCTTTTTTATTTTATGAGCTGAGGAGAAACAGCAGTAGTTCAGTGCAAAATTGCTGGTTACACAATAGTCATCTAGAACAGAATACATCCATAATAATCCCAGTTTTTCAAACTCACCTGGAATAGTTACGCCACTTTCCTTCAACCAGCTACATAGTTCCACGAAGGAGCAATTGCAGAACCAGGGATTCTCACCTATGCCCAGTCTTCTCAGATTAGGCAGGTCCCTGACCGTACTTGTATCAATAAACATCAAGCTGCAGCGGCTCACATCTAGATGCCTCAACAAGGTATTATTGGCAAAAGAGTCCTTCTCAATCTCCACCAGGCTGGGATTGTCTGAGAGTTTTAGCACCACCAGACTGCTCAGCTGTGAAAAGGTGCCAAATGTTACCTGTGTGAGATTGTTAAAGCTGAGGTCTAAGTAGATAAGCTTGATCATGCTGACAAAAGTGAAATCCAGGTCCTTGCCTAAAGTGTTGCTGCTGCAATCTAGGTAGATCAAGTCACTGAGAAAATTCAACTCGAGTGAGGGCAAGTAGCTGAGTTTGTTTTCAGCCAGAACCAGCTGCCTGGTGTCCAGTGGAATTATAGTTGGGAACTCTTCCAGCAGTTTCCCCATGCAACTGACAGCTAGGTATTGGCATGTACATTCCTTGGGACAGCTTGTGCTTCCTATTGTCCATCTGATTGTACTCAGGAGCACCACCATCCAGAAATTATTGGAGGTGAGAGGAAAGAGCATGATGTGGCATTGCACTTCCTTCTTTGGACTCTGATAGTTTCCATGAAGATCTGGGCCAGGAGCCATGGATTTTCAAGTCTTATCCTGAGGGGAGCTGTGGCTGGCTGTTCTTCCTGATGCTCTCTGCTCAGCAAGAGCCCTGGCAAATGATTAAACGAGAAGAGAGCTTCTTTTCTTAAAAGTGCAAAACAGCTTCTTGCAGTTAGAAGATCTCCATGTCATGTTGGCTGCCAGTTGACACCTTTATGTCAGCTCCAGGTAAGTTCATAGGTTCTTGGCACAGTTTGCATACACTGAAATGTGTATGCATATAAGTAACTTAATTATATGCCAGCTTTCTGTTTCCAGAGAAATTGGGTAAATTCTAAGAAGGACCAAAGTCTGAGGACAGGCATCCCTTATATGAAGAAGTATAATTTACATATGCTCATTCCCCACATATTAAGAACATGAATTCTATCTACCTTTCCACTCCATGCAAAAGAGAAATAAAATAAATTGCTGCCACCTATAATCCCTGGTTCTATGTGCTTCGTTGTAAGGACCCACCCCACTTTGCATCTTAAGAAGACAGAACTCTTGGAATATTTCTTCCAACAGGCATCTTTATTAAGAGAAAATGGTTGCAGGCGTTCTAGACAGGACCTGGGGCCAAACCCCTACGGTTCAAGGTTTTAAGGGGTCCCCAGCAGCTCCATCCCACCCCACCATCCTTCCAGCGACAATCCCAGGAGTTACATTTCCCCCCCCCTTTCCTCACTGCCAGTGAAAGGGAGACTTCAGAGGGGATTAGATGAAAGCTGATGGCCCCATTGTTATGATTAGTCCTTTTGGTGGTATCCACATTCAGTCCCTTTGAAGTTGTACCGAAGGAAGTGAGGGCCATAAAATCCCTTTGTTCACCCCCCTTCCCTTCATCGTATGACAGAATCCAGAGAGGGAAGAAATGGGGTTTTCCATAGTCGATAACTAGAGATGAAATATAATTGGATTCTGACATCCTGCCCCCTTAAAATTAAGAGAGATCCACCTGAAAGAAAACAAAATAGGTATAAAAATTAGTCAGGCTTGTTAGGATACTCTGTGAAACTTCTTTAATAGCTTCGGGGCTCTGACATGACGGTTATGGACCCACTCATTTTGTGAGGCAGGAAGGTGTTTCCAGGCAACTAGGTACTGAGTTGCTCCATGATATCTCCTAGAATCTAGGATTTCCTTTATTTCGAAGTGTTGTTCGCCTTCCACCATGATTGGAGGTGGGGGGGGGAATTTTGGCCGTAAGGATGACTGATGCTCTCTTTTCAGCAAGCTGCAATGAAAAATTGGGTGTATTTGCCTGAGATTTTTGGGTAATTCTAATTCTACTGTTACTGGGTTTATGATTCTTTTAATTGGAAAAGGCCCTTTATATTTTGGTCCAAGTTTTTTACAGGGTTGTAGGGACTTTAGGTATTTTGTAGATAAGTACACCATTTCTCCTATAATGAATGGTGTAGGCTCAACCCTTTTTTTATCGGCTTGTGCTTTGTATGCCTGCCTAGCTTCATCTAGTGCTTTTCTAACTATTGGCCAAGTGTTTTGTAATTGTTCCATCCATTCTTTCAGTGATGGGATCGCCGGTTCATTTGGGGTTAATTCTGGCACGGGGTTGAAACTTTGACCGGTAGCTATTTGAAAAGGAGTGTAACCTGTGCTGGAGTGGACTGCATTATTGTAGGCAATTTCTGCGAAAGGGAGTAGGTCCGTCCAATTGGACTGCTGAAAACTAAGAAAGCATCTTAAATATTGCTCAAGAACTGAGTGACACCTTTCTGTTTGTCCATCCCCTTGTAGATGATGGCTAGATGTCAGTCCCTGAGTGGTCCCTAAGAGGGATAAAAATTCCTTCCAAAATGCAGACGTAAATTGCACTCCCCTATCAGAGATGATGCGTTGGGGTGCCCCATGCAATCTGTAAATATGCTGGACGAAAAGTTTCGCTAAGGCTTTTGCGGTGGGAATCTTATGGCAAGGGATAAAGTGCACCTGTTTGGAAAACAAGTCCGTGACCGTCCAGACAAAAGTATTCCCATTGCTTTCTGGTAATTCCACTATAAAATCCATGGCTATTTCCCTCCAGGGGGCTGAGGGATTTGCCACTGTTTGTAACAGTCCGGGCGATTTCCCTTGCAACCTCTTTGCAGTTGCATACTTTGGGCAGCTGGCCACGTAACTTTCTATGTCCTTTTTTATGGATGGCCACCAAAATTGCCGTTTAATTAAGTGTAATGTTTTTAAAAATCCAAAATGCCCTGCTGATTTTGTGTCGTGGCAAAGCTGCATGAATGTGACTCTTTGGGTTGTTGGTATATATAGCTTTTCCCCCACCCAAAGCAGCCCGTCTCTCATTGTGCACACATTTTTGTTTTTCTGGAACCATTCATCTGTTTCCAAACTTTTCCGGAATTCAATTTCAGTTTGGCTGCCCAGCTGTGGTTTTAATTTAGCTTGGGCTCTGGTGGTTACTGGCGCTGCCAGTTGTGATTCTACCATCATCGGTTTAGAGTCAGTGGCTCGCATGCTGTTATATTGGGGCATGCGAGATAGTGTATCTGCCAGGAAGTTCTTTCTCCCCGGCAAATGCTTGAGCGTAAATTGGAACTGGTGAAAATGCTGGGACCAGTGGGCTTGCTTGGGGTTGAGCTTCCTGGGTGTTTTCAGGGCTTCCAAATTTTTGTGGTCAGTCCACACCTGGAAAGGGATTTTGTTGCCTTCAAGGAACTGGCGCCACGCGAGTAATGACCAATGTATCCCGTATGCCTCTTTCTCCCACAAGGGCCAGCGCTGTTCCGTTTCCGTGAGTTTCTTGGATGTATACGCACAGGGTTGCAATACCCCTTCATTGTTTTCTTGTAACAGTACAGCCCCCACTGCCACATCACTTGCATCCTCCTGTATTACGAAGGGCTTATCCATGTCTGGGTGCCTCAGTACTGATTTGGCAGAAAAAAGTCTCTTTAATCTCTCAAACACTGCTTGGCACTCCATTGTCCATGTTAATGGCCGGCCATTGAGGATGCTCCCTTCATTTTTAGTAAGTTCGTGAGGGGCAGGGCTATCTGGGCAAATGAGGGGATGAATTGGCGGTAAAAGTTTGCGAAGCCCAAGAAACTTTGCAGTTGCTTTCTTGTGCGGGCTGGTGCCCATTCTAATACTGCTCTGACTGTCTCTGGGTCCATTTCAATGCCCTGTGGGGATATGCAATAACCTAGGTAGTCTATCCTTTCCTGGTGGAATTCGCATTTCGAGAGTTTGGCATATAGGTGGGCAGCTCGCAGTTTCTTTAACACTGCTCTGACTAGGTTGACCTGTTCCTCTTTTGATTCGATGAAGATAAGAATGTCATCTAAGTAAACCAGAACCCCCTTAAATAGGTGCTCCCTTAGAACATCATTGATTAATTGCATAAATACTGCGGGGTCCCCTTGTAATCCAAATGGCAAGACTTTGAATTGGTAGCACCCCATGGGGCAGTTAAATGCAGTCTTCCATTCATCCCCTTCCTTAATTCTCACACGATAGTAAGCTTCCCTTAGGTCTAGTTTAGAAAAAAAATTCCCTTTCAAAAGGTGTGACAACATGTCTTTCATGAGGGGCAGAGGGTATAGGTTGCTTTCACTGATTGTATTCAGGGCCCTATAATCCACGCATAAGCGTAAAGAGCTGTCCTTCTCTCTAAAGAGGACCGAGGCAGCCACTTTAGGCTTGGCTGGCTCAATGAACCCACTTTCTAGGTTTTTCTTTATGAATCTTTCCAATTCCTCCTTCTCCTTTGGGCTCATGGAGTATAATCTGGGCTTCGGGAGTTTTGCCCCAGGCTTGAATTCAATGGCACAGTCCGTGGGTCGGTGGGGGGGTAGCTCATCCACCCTCTCCTCACTGAAAACTTCAGCAAGATCTCTGTATTCCTCTGGTATTTCTGGTACTCCCTTTTCCTCTCCCATGATGCTTTTTCTGTCCTTGATTCTGGTAGACCCCCTTGGGATTTTAAGTCCATAGGGTCCCCCTTCGGGAATTTGATTTCTGCCGTCCTCCAATTCACCCAGGGGTTCCATTTTTTTAAACCATTCCATCCCTAGGATCATTGGGCATTCCATGCCTAGAGTCACTACAAACGTTATGTCTTCATCATGTTTGCCCAGGAAAGGTGTATTAGTAAAGTGGCTAGGGTAGCTGGCACCCCGCCTGCTATGGACCCATCTAACTGGCCAAATGAGATTGGTTGTTCCAGTCTCCTTGACGGAATGCCCAGATTCCCCACTAGTGTCGGGCTAATGAGGCAGTGGGTGCAGCCAGAGTCTATTAAGGCTTTCACCTTGACAGCTTCGGGCATGGGGGGAATTAATATAGTCACTGTCTTGAGGATGGGTCCAATGTGTCCACTTACCAGGGGTTCACCCTCCGAGCTGTCGTCTGAGGCATCCACCAGCCCTGCGGTGTAGGCTGGAGTTCTTTCCCCCTGATGAGCAGAGGTGGGGGATTCCACAGCCTCCATCATTCTCATGGCAGGTTCTTTTGGCTTAGCTGGAGACTTTCCGGATTTACTGGCCGGTGATCTGTCTGGGTTGTGCTGGGGGGGGGGCTTTTGAGCGGCATTCTACAGCCCGATGCCCTTCTCTCCCGCACTTGAAACACCCATTTGCTTCTTGGCCGTAGCCGATGGTTTCACTGGTTCACGTGTGAACTCAGGCGGTGAGCGGCTCCATTGTTTTCCTCGGCGGTGCCTCTTCAGTATGTCAATTTCTGCTTCCTCTGCCAAGACGTACCATTCCTCAAGTTGGTGTGGGTCCCCTCGGGGCAGGCAAGCATCATATAGGTCATAATTTTGTCCGTCTTTGAAATGGCTAAGGAGGATGTCTTCCGGCCAGTTCAGTTTGCTGGCAATTCTTGCGTATATTCGGCTACTGGGTGTTTGCCTTGCCTCATTATTTTTATCCTTTCGCGGGCTTTGCAATCAGCCAGGGGGTCCTCAAATCGCCTTCTCAGAGAGGACATGAAACGGTTGAAGTCGTTGAGCTCTGGGGCATTGGAGTCATGCAAGTTCACCACCCAATCTGCGGCCGGCCCGTCCAGGGCAGATTGCACGATCCGGATACGGGTTTTGCCACTGGGGATGTGCCACCCGTATTCCTCCATGTCGCTGAGGACTTGGGTTAGGAAAAATCCCAAGCATGTCGGCTCTCCCTTGAATCTCATGTCCAGCAGCGGGAGTCTTTGAA